TTCATTTTTATCTCCTGGTCCCCAAACCACTTCTCTCCCAACGTCATTCTCAGTAAACAACACTACCATTTACCTGGTTATTCAGGCCAAAATCCTGGGAAACCATCTTGGTCTCTTTATTTCCACCTCCCACCTCCCATCTATCACCAAACACTGTGGGCTCTTCCTTCAACATATTCCTGTCCCACTTGCTTCTCCACCGTGCCAGTGGCTGTTTCAGCGCTAGACGGCCATCTGGTCTCTACAGCTGAAATTCTGCTGGTCCCCTCAGTCCATCCTGCCCTTCCCCGCCCACCCCTGCTGTGGTTAGCACAGCACCCAGCAGGTGGATAATTCTTATTACCTCAATTGGATCAACGCTGAGGCGGGAGGAGAAGGGGACGACAGAGGATGAGATGGTCGGATGGCATCCCCGACTTGATGGACATGAGTTTGAGCAAGCTCTGGGTGTTGGTGATGGACAGGGAGGCCTGGTGGCGTGCAGTCCGTGGGGTCGCAAAGAGTCAGACACGACTGAGCGACTGAACTGAACCCTCTGCTGCTTCCCACCTCACCTCCATAATGGTCTACGACCCAATGTCTGGCTGCTCGCTGCTCTAGCGTCGTCCGTCTGTCTGTCTGTCATCACTGTGGTCCAGCTACCCTGGTTTTCTTGTGGTTCCTTGAACGAGCCAGGCACATGCCTCCACCTCAGCCTCCCAGCCTTCGCATCACCTTCCACACTTCCCGGGACACGTTCCCTCTGGATGTCTGTACACCGCCGCCCTCACTCTCCTTAAACCCCACCTCTTCCCGTCTCCTCTGAGAGCACTTCCTCGAATCCTCCTTTGTTTTTCTTCATCACATTTACCACTGGCTGACATCACATCACACAATTATTTTCTCAGTCTGTTCATGCCCACTAGGATACATGCCTCACATCAAAGGCATTTTCTGTTTTAGTCATTGTTTCATCGCTACCACCTGGCATACAGAAGCAGCCAACATACTTCTGAGTGAATATATGATTTCCCCAAATTCCTTTACACATACCTCTCAAGCCACCGAAGACAAAGCAGGCCACAGAGTTTTCCTGTGACACAGAGGCAATACTCATTCTTCCAGCTACCAAGGGAAAGACATAAAGCTCTTTCTTAACTGCAGGAGGATTTGATGAGGGAACATCAACATCCCTTGAATCCTCTCTCTTGCCCAGGAACCATGCCCTCTGTTTCTCTTCTCTTTGTCTCTGGATTTGGTCAAATGGCCTCATTTGGACAATGGCAAGTTAGTGGGCAAGGCAAGAACAAAGGCTTGACAAGTGTTCACACTACTGTCTGTTTCTCTGCCACTGACTTGATGTGAATTTGCCTGTGAAACCCTGTGGTCCCGGGAGGAAGCTGACTGGTGTATCACAGAGCCCTCAACCCTTAGCTGACCTGCAGATCAGTGAGAAAAAGTGACTGTTGGAACTGCATGTTATCTGTACTTCTTTCTGGGGATCGACAGCTAACTGGTAGAACAAATTAAAGCAAGACTTCATTTTTTTAAAAGCCCAAGAAAACTGTGAGAAAAATGAAAGGCTCACAGGGAAAGGGGACCTAAGCTTTGGCCCGGAGAGCAGGCAGTGTGCTTACAGGGGCAGAGGGTCTCCTGCCCGGCTTCCTGATGCGAGGCTATGGGAGGAGCCTGCTCTGCAGCGGGCTCGCACCAACACCTGGCCACCCAGCCTCATCAGGAGAGAGAAGAAGAGTGAGAGGATGGGTGTCTGGCTCCTCCCAGCCTTTCTCTTGCGAGGAGTAAACCTTGAGATGAAGCTGAAGATTCCACTGTGCAGCTGTCGTGGGGAGGGGGGAACACACAACAGACTCAGGGCTCTGCTCCTGCCCCCCAGCACAGGACAGAACAACAAAGGCAACAATGGCAGAAGGTCTCTGGAAGCATTGCCTCGGTCAAGGAGGGACTATAAATTCATTGACCTCAGATCTTAGCAGCGAAGGCCAGATGTGCACCCAGGAACCTGGCGGACACAGGACATGGGGCTGGAGACCAGCTGATGGCAGACCTTGCAAACTCAAGGGAGGACCAGCGATGTGATGATGTTAGAGGAACATTTCAGGGATAACCTCTCTTCGTCCATCCCCTTCTATATTCCATGTACCTGCACACACACAGAAGGAAGCAGGGGATGGGATGGCCACCTGAGAGACAGAGCATTGTCTCAGGAGGATCAGAGATGATGGAAGGGATTGTTGAAACAGCCAAGTCAGACTGAGCAGTGAGCCAGACTGGATGTTGTGTATCTGCCTGTGCCACGCAGTGAGAGTGAAAGCAAGTCACTCAGTCGTGTCCAACTATTTGCGACCCCATGGACTGTATAGTCCATGGAATTTTCCAGGCCAGAAAATGAGTGGGTATCCTTTCCCTTCTCCAGGGGATTTTCCCAACCCAGGGGTTGAACCCAAGTCTACTACAGTGCAGGTGGATTCTTTACCAGCTGAGCCACAGGGAAGCCCACTCACCACTGACAGATGGAGACACTGTATTGTCTCTGAACATCCAAGTTGTTTCATGCATGACAATATGCAACTGTGTGATAACCATAGCAACCCCCACTTCGGTCTCCCTGCAGACTCTCACTCACTTCCTGTTAATCATTCTCCACACTGCAGATGGTGTTATCTTTCTAAAACATCAATCTGAGCAGGTTATTCTCCTGATTTAAAAAAAATCCTTCCGTGACCACTTTTAGCCTCCAGGATGACATTAAAACCTTAATGTGACTTGGGGCTGAATCCTGTAATATGGCGATGCCTCTGCATTCACGTTGGATTCCAAAGACGGCTGACTGTGATGCCCTGAGCCCAGCACCTTCTCCATAAATTCATTGACCTCAGATCTTAGCAGCGAAGGCCAGATGTGCACCCAGGAACCTGGCGGACACAGGACATGGGGCTGGAGACCAGCTGATGGCAGACCTTGCAAACTCAAGGGAGGACCAGCGATGTGATGATGTTAGAGGAACATTTCAGGGATAGCCTCTCTCCGTCCATCCCCTTCTATATTCCATGTACCTGTACACACACAGAAGGAAGCAGGGGATGGGATGGCCACCTGAGAGACGGAGCATTGTCTCAGGAGGATCAGAGATGATGGAAGGGACTGTTGAAACAGCCAAGTCAGACTGAGCAGTGAGCCGGACTGGATGTTGTGTATCTGTCTGTGCCACGCAGTGAGAGTGAAAGCAAGTCGCTCAGTCGTGTCCAACTATTTGCGACCCCATGGACTGTATAGTCCATGGAATTTTCCAGGCCAGAAAATGAGTGGGTATCCTTTCCCTTCTCCAGGGGATTTTCCCAACCCAGGGGTTGAACCCAAGTCTACTACAGTGCAGGTGGATTCTTTACCAGCTGAGCCACAGGGAAGCCCACTCACCACTGACAGATGGAGACACTGTATTGTCTCTGAACATCCAAGTTGTTTCATGCATGACAATATGCAACTGTGTGATAACCATAGCAACCCCCACTTCGGTCTCCCTGCAGACTCTCACTCACTTCCTGTTAATCATTCTCCACACTGCAGATGGTGTTATCTTTCTAAAACATCAATCTGAGCAGGTTATTCTCCTGATTTAAAAAAAATCCTTCCGTGACCACTTTTAGCCTCCAGGATGACATTAAAACCTTAATGTGACTTGGGGCTGAATCCTGTAATATGGCGATGCCTCTGCATTCACGTTGGATTCCAAAGACGGCTGACTGTGATGCCCTGAGCCCAGCACCTTCTCCTGGCCCTTGGGGGCATGCAGTGCGGGGGTTCAGGACTGCACTGTGGGGGAGTTAATTCTCCAGGCAGCAGCCCTGAGTCAGGCCGGGTGGGAAGGAGGAGAAGCAAGGCCCTGGCTCTGCACTGTCTCCCACTGTCACCTAAGGTCCTGAGCGCCACTTACTCGCCACATCAGTGGCCTGGTAATGGCCATTCCTTTCCTGGTTTCACTTCTCTACTTTCCTACTGGGATTTCCTGGGCTCCTCTCCCAAATAAGCTGGTATTCACACCCTCAGCCCGTGCTACTACTCCACCAAGGGGCTCCTCTTCTGACCTCAAGAGTTCCTCCTGGGAGAATCTAAGACATGATGGGTGACCATACAATTCATCAACACACTGGGCCACATTTTTAGAGTGAATGTGGCCCTTGCTAATAATTCACCCTTGTCCTGGCAGGAGGCGATTGGGATGGTCCTGGGCCTGTCAGGACATTTGGATCTCCTTCAAGTATATTTGGATCTGAATCCAGCTTGCTGCTGCTGCATTTTGATCACTTGCTTCTTCTTACTGTAGTTTCAACCCTTCTGATTGAAACTTGCTGTGGTTCCTCAAATTTCCCTCAAGGCACACTGTGTTTTCAAAGACCGAAATAATACCGCCCACCTGCACGCTCCTTTGCAGAGTGACCCTGTCACTGTGCCATCAAGAAGCAGGGTCTGCTTAGCCTTTCCCGGGGTCTGGGCTGGAGCCCAGATCTGGCCAATAGCCGCTAGTAAAGAGGGTGTGCATGAGCTCTGTGGCTGGGTCTTAGGGACCTCCAGTTTGCACCTTTGCTTTTTCCAAGGCTCTTTCATAGAGACCAGCCGCCATGATGGGAGGAAGCCCAGGCAGCCATGAGGTAGAGGCTTGGAGGTGGGGGGTGGGTCTGGGCAGGAGAACCGAGGCCCCTGGCTGAGAGCCCCAGGGAAACTCTTGGGCAGCCACATGACTGAGACCACTGTGTACCATTCAGCCATTCTCATGTCCCGCCTGAGACCACATGAAGTAGAAGAGTCAGGCCACAAAATTGTGTGAGATCATGAAGTATTGTTCAAGCCGCAGAGTGCTGGCTGCGCTGTTGTACCAAACAGAGAACTGAAACACCTCTCCTCTCTCTGCCCTCTGTTCCCCGCCGTTTCTCTGCCCAGATACCTCTAACCTATCACTCAGATCTCAGCTTCTGTGTCACAGCCCTTGGGGTGCCTTCCCTTACCTCCTGGACTGGGTTACTGCTCCCCCTTCTTGCTCTCAAAGAACCCAGTGTTTCCACCTTCCATTTATCCTGCCACACGTCCTTCCACTTCAAATTGCCTTTCCAACACTGGAGGCTCTCTTTCAGTCAGAACTTAAGCCCCTGTGAGAAACTGTGCCTGTCTTGGACATCATAGGTATTCCAGCGGCGAATACAATGCCTGGTGTGTGACAAATGATGATTACATGCTTGCTTAATTATGATTTAATAAAAATAACTATGTTTATTACACCTATACTATGGGGCAGGCCCCATGCTTCCTATTAAACATGCATTATTTTGTTGAATCCTGCAGAGCAGTGGCAATTACTATTCCTACTTAATACATGAGGAAACAGAATGCCCAAGATGTTAAGTAACTTGCCAAAGTCGAAGGATTGGTAAGTGACAGAGTAAGAATGCAAACCCACAAGTGTGATCGCAAAGACTGCTCTTAACTGCAATCCTTATGTACCGATCAGGATGGGTTAAGTTGTGCTGCAGTAACAAATGGCCCAATAGACTTGCTAACTTAAGAATGCAAAGCATTTTTTTCTTTGGAGGCTGTAGGTTCATCATAAGTTGACATGGTGCTCTGTTCATTGTGGTCACAGAAGGATCCTGTCGAGGGAACAACCACTGTCTTGAGGTTTGTTGGCCACCATATCAAAGGGACAGAAGGACCCCAGAAGGTCTTGCATCAACAGTTAAGCACTCTTGCCTAGAAACAGCACATGTATTTTCTACTCATCACATTTTTTGGCTGGAAATACTCACCGAGCAGTGTGATGCCTACCAGAGTATATCACGTCACCCATGAATGAGCATAGTGGTATGTCATTTCCTGCTGTGTGGGGAGGCTCTGCCAAATTTTTGGAAAATCTTAGACTAAGGATTTCTTTACCAAGGATCATAATATTCACATTTGAGATATAATGGAAATCATACGGTGGCTTCCAACAGGTCTATTGCAGGTCTTCTACTGCAGTTCCTTCTATAGTGGCAGTCTGAGAAGAAGTTTCTGGGACCAATATGACTCACAAACTGCATTAAGTTCAAATGGATCAGCACTGACCTTTAGTTTGACCACTTCAGACCTTGCCCCTGACAAACAGCCCTGGTCACTAAAGCAATGATTACTTGGCATTAGTTACTATTCAGCTTCTTTCCAAGCACAGTTTCTCAAGCTCACACAGAAGAATTGATACCTTTTTCCCTACAGAGTAGGTCTACCTTATGATTTGGCACTACACGCTACACGGCCATGACACGAATAGTTAATTTGAAAAACAAATAAAAGGCGGGTTCAGATTTTACTTTCCAAAAAGAAAACTAAAATGAGTATTGCCATCCTGAAAATAGAGGCTATCTGTTTAATAATACAGAATGCACAGTGATGTGAGGAGCAGTAGATATTGACATTCTTCTAAATTCACACCTATAATATATCCACAATGGTGTGTGATATCAAGGAACCCTAAATACAACTATCCTTTTAATTCTCACATGGAACAGGAGAACCTTCTCAGTTTTAGTATTGCATTTTTCACCTTTCAAAAAAGCCATCATCGTCTTACAGTTTCAAGGGTTTTTAGGCTTTATGCAAGTTGGTGTCACTCAAGCCAGGAAACTCCTTAAAGTACAGGACACATTTTAATCTAGCTTTTGTTCAATACTCTCAATGTTGGAACCTCTACTACTTCAAAAGAGTGGCTCCTCATTTTTGAATAGTTTAAGCTATTAGGAAGTTCTTTCGAACTGAAATTTTCCTCTCACTTGGTGACTCTAGTCCCTTGGAGTAAGCCTCTACAAAGCCTAACTCTTCTTTTATGGAGCAGTTGTCAAGACTGAAAATGGATTCTTTCATGTCTCTTAAATCATATCTTTTCATTGGCGTAAGTATCTCCAAATCTTTTGATTTTTCCCCCTTATGGATCCTTTACCTATTTGGTCTTCTTAAAAGACATCTTAAAATGCAGTGCTTAGGACTGGCCATGAAGCGTTCACAGTTTTATTTCTAGAATATATTTCTGCCATTCCCTTTAGAAGTCACACTTGTCATGGGTTAGGTATCCTTCTTTCATCTTTTTTTATGTGTCCTTTTTCAAGCAGTGTTCATCAAAGAGCTCCACGTGAAGTCCTATTAATTTATTTAGATACATCTCCTTTTCCCTCTTTTATGCAATCAGTTTCTGATTAGCAGCTGACTCAACAACTTGGGGACATGGATCATGAGGGGGTGTCAAAACCTTACTGGACTGCAGGAGACAGCCATTTGAAGTTTGGCTGTCTGATGGATATTTACACAGCTGGTGAAAGCAAATTGGTTGCTTCTCACTGACGTGTACGTCAGTTTCAAAGGGAGATCTCACCAGCCCTGCTCCCACTAAATGACCACGTTTTTAAGGAACACTGGCTGGAGGAGATGGCGGGTGATTAGCCTAGCCAGGCACCCACATGTTTTCTGAGGTCCTCACTGCAGACTCCTTAGATGGTATGAACAGAATTTACCTCCAAGGTATCAAATCTCTTAGTTGCTTCTGCATCCTAATGAAAGTTGCAGGTGTTACCAGGAAGGAATGCCTCGCTCGTGGCGTCACACACCTGTTTCAGAGGCCACCTCTGCCTGTGCCCAGGGGGATGTTAACCCAGTGGTTCTCAGTGACTGGGGGAGCACTTGGCCACATCTGGACTCACTGATGGCTGTCACAGCTGGGAGGCGCGACTTGCAGCCAGTGGGTAGAGCCCCGGGAAGCAGCTAAGCACCCCGCAAAGCACAAGTCAACCACCACAACAAAAAACTGTGCATCTGACCCCAAAAGGCAACAGTGCTGCTGCTGGAAAACCTGCTTGAAGAAGATAACCTTCCCCAACCTTCATTCCCCTTCCCGTGCAGTGAGGATAACAGCGGTCCAGGCTGCTGTCATGAGGACTGCAGGCAGCACTATATACTAAAACACATACTGGAGTGACTGGCACAGAGCCAGCATCCAAAAACAGTCATCATTTTCTCCTTTATTATTACCAAGTATTACACGGGCTATTTCTTAAGATGTTACTTGCTTAATACTAAAAAGGTAGTTTATTTACTCCACAAATATTTTTTTGAGCACTTTCCATATGTTAGGCACTGATGTGGCTGCTGCAAATAGATAAAGTAAAAAGTAAGAAGACAACACTGTTAGCTTCCTGTTAGCTTCAGGAAGCAAAGAGCTTGCAAGTAGGCACTGTGTTCCCATTTTGTAACTGAAAGACTCAGGCCCTGGGAGGTTCAAGTACTGAACCCAAGGGTTCAATGCCCATGAGGGCCAGAGCTCAGATTCAAACACCACCGGCGGTTACAGACCGAGGGCTTGTGTCTCTCTAGATTAATATGTTGAAATCCCAACCCCCAAAGGGATGGATCTGGGATCGGAACGTGAGGGCAGAGCCCTCTTGAATGAGATTACTGTCCGTCTAAGAAGAGCCCCCTGGAGGAGGAAATGGCAACTCACTCCGGTATTCCTGCTGGGATAATCCCATGGACAGAGGATCCTGGCGGGCGACGGTCCATCAAGTCACAAAGAGTCAGACATGACCGAAGAGGTTGAGCACACATGCACACCAGAAGAGCCTGGAGAGAGATTACCTCTCTCTCCATCACATGAGAATATGAGAAGATGGCTGTCTGCAAGCTAGGAGGCGGGCCCTCCCCAGACACCTGCTCTGCGGGTACCTTGATCTCCAACTTTTCAGCCTTCAGAACTTGTAAGCAATAAATGTCTGTTGCTTAGCTGTCTAGTCTGGGGGATTTTATAGCAGCATGGGCTGACCAGCTGACTGCCACACCATCTCTGCCTGATTCCAAAGCCTACATGCTTTCCACTGCATTACTGTCAGATGCCTGCCTTTAGGAAAACGAGACTGCAAGCTGTGTAGGAAGATCTCAGCTCTGCTAATTTTATTGTCTTAGCATTCTCATCAGCGCCCTCTCACACTGCAGGACATGTCTACGGTGATAAGCTTATCATTTCTTTCCCTTCGACTCTTTATTAATTTAACAAATATTTATTGAGCACTTGCTCCTTGTTCCCTTGGAGGAAGAAATGGCAACCCTACTTCAGCATTCTTGCCTGAAAACTCCCCTGGACAGAGGGGAGCCTGGAGGCCTATTGTCCATGAGGTCACAAAGAGTGCTCCTTGTTAGGATGCAGTGGAACTATGAAACCCTGTCTTAGCCTGCAGAGAGGTCTGGGGCTGGTGTGGATAAGAGTCAGTCTCGAATAGAAGTCTCATGTGAGACCCAAAGCAGCACCTTAACTTAGCCTCAAGTGTATCAGGCCATGAGGCCCCCTTCCTGTTGGGGCTGTGGATGTCCTTATAGGTATCTGTTTCTTTAGGCAACTCATCACATGCACAGTCAGTTTATTTACATGGCAAATTTTCCTTTGATGAACAGAAAACCCTGGGTGTATTACTCATATACCTGAAATTCATATAATGGTTTTAGCTCGGCACATCTCGAGCAGAGTCAATTCTTACTTATAGAAGATTTCTCTTATGATGTTATTTGTTCATGACCTTGAAGGTTTGTGCCTCATTGCATATTGCAATTTTGCTTTAGTGTCAATTTAGTCACCTGACCTGAAATACTGATGAGCAAGAGTGTTACTCATAGTGAAGGAAACTGGCATT